CAGCTTTTCTCAAATGATCCATAACAGTTCATAAGCCTAGCACCAGCAGTCATTTGATTGAAATAGCAGATGTAAAATTCTCCATTCTAGCACTTTCTTCATTAAATTTGGCCTGAAGCAGGGTGTGTTGAGTCCCAATCTTGTAACTTACTATAAGCATACCAAAGCATTCAAAAGGCTGTCCACCTCTCCTCCTCCTCTTCTAAACATTTATTTATTATTTCTTAATTAAATGCATATTCTGCTTTTCTGCCAAAGCAGTGCTCCAGGGGGCCAACAATCATACGAGAATAGATTATAAACAGAATCTTAATTAAAACAGCATTAAAAACAAATCAATCCATAAATATTAAAAACCATTAAAAGCACAACAAGAGAAAATAAACATAAGTGCTGCACCACATCGGCTAGCTACATCAAGCTGGCCAGTTCATGTATTCATCTGCTTGCAGATCATCTTCACAGACCAAGTTACACCCACGAGAATCTTCACAAGAGGCCTTGCTGTCCAAGTCATATTCTGGAGAGTCCCTTCTGGCATCAACACAGCCATGGGCCTTCTCTCAGGGGACATCCTCACTCTCCCCTCTGTGACAGCTCAGGCACCAACAATAATTGGCTTCTAATGATGGTTAATAAAGACGGAGAAGCTCTATACAGTCAGTAAAAACTAGACCAGGAGCTGACTGTGGCTCAGATCATGAGCTTCTTGTTGCAAAATTCAGGCTTAAATTGAAGAAAGTAGGGAAAAGTTCTAGGCCACTCAGGTATGAACTGAACCATATTCCTGAAGAATATACAGTAGAGGTGACAAATAGATTTAAGGAATTAGATCTGATGGAGTGCCTGAAGAACTATGGATGGAGGTTCGCAACACTGTACAAGAGGTAGCAACTAAAACCATCCCAAAGAAAAAGAAATGCAAGAAAGCAAAATGGCTGTCTGAGAAAGCATTACAAATAGCTGAGGAAAGAAAGGAAGCAAAAGGCAAGGGAGAAAGAAAAAGATACAGCCAATTGAATGCAGAATTCCAGACTAGCTAGAAGAGCTAGAAGAGATAAGACTGCCTTCTTAAATTAACAGTGCAAAGAAATAGAAGAAAACAATAGAATAGAGAGGACCAGAGATCTCTTCAAGAAAACTGGAGATATGAAGGGAATGTTTCATGCAAAGATGGGCTTGATAAAGGACCAAAATGGCAGAGACCTAACAGAGGCAGAAGAGATTATGAAGAGGTGGCAAGATTATACAGAAGAACTATACAAGAAAGCTTAATGGCCCTGATAACCATGATGGGGTGGTCACTGACCTCAAGCCAGACATCCTGGAATGTGAAGTCAAATGAGCCTTAGGAAGTCTGAGCAACAACCAAGCTAGTGGAGGTGAAAGTATTCCAGCTGAACTATTCAAAATCTTAAAAGACGATGCAGTAAAAGTGCTACACTCAATATGCCAGCAAATTTGGAAAACTCAACAGTGGCCACAGGATTGGAAAAGGACAGTTTACATTCCGATCCCAAAGAAGGGCAATGCCAAAGAATGTTCAAATTACTGCACCATTACACTCATTTCACATGCTAGCAAAGTTATGCTCAAAATCCTACAAGCTAGGTTTCAGCAGTATGTGGACCGAGAACTACCAGAAGTACAGGCAGGGTTTCGAAGAGGGAGAGGAACTAGAGATCAAATTGCCAACATACGCTGGATCATGGAGAAAGCTAGGGAGTACCAGAAAAACATCTACTTCTGCTTAACTGACTATGCTAAAGCCTTTGATTATGTGGATCACAACAAACTGCGGCAAGTTCTTCAAGAGATGGGAGTACCAGACCATCTTATTTCTCTCTCGAGAAACCTATATGCGGGTCAAGAAGCAACAGTGAGAACTGGACATGGGACCACTGATTGGTTCAAAATTGAGAAAGGAGTTTGGCAAGGCTGTATACTGTCGCCCTACCTATTTAACTTATATGCAGAGCACATCACGAGAAAGGCAGGGCTAGATGAATCACCAGTTGGAATTACAATTGCTGGGAGAAATATCAACAACCTCAGATATGCAGATGATACCATTCCCATGGCAGAAAGTGATGAGGAACTAAAGAGCCTCTTGATGCAGGTGAAGGAGGGGAGCACAAAAGTTGGCTTGAAACTCAACATCAAGAAAACGATGATCATGGCATTCGGTTCTCTCACTTCCTGGCAAATAGATGAGGAAGAAATGGAGGTAGTGACAGATTTTATTTTCCTAGGCTCCAAGATCACCGCAGATGGGGACTGCAGCCAAGAAATTAAAAGATGGTTGCTTCTGGGGAGGAAAGCTATGGCAAATCTAGACAGCATACTAAAAAGCAGAGACATCACCCTGCCAACAAAAGTGCAAATAGTCAAGGCTATGGTTTTCCCAGTTGCAATGTATGGCTATGAAGGCTGGACCATAAGGAAGGCTGAGTGTCGAAGAACTGAGGTCTTTGTATTGTGGTGCTGGAGGAGACTCCTGCGAGTTCCTTGGACTGCAAGGCAATCAAACCTGTCAGTCCTAGAGGAGATCAACCTTGACTGCTCTTTAGAAGGCCAGATACTGAAGATGAAACTCAAATAAATACTTTGGCCACCCAATGAGAAGGAAGGACTCCCTGGAGAAGAGCCTAATGCTGGGAACAATAGATGGCAAAAGAAGAAGGGGACGGCAGAAAATGAGGTGGCTACATGGAGTCACTGAAGCAGTTGGTGTAAGCTTACGTAAGTGGACTCCGGGGGATGGTGGAGGACAGGAAGGCCTGGAGGAATGTTGTCCATGGGGTCGTGATGGGTCGGACACGACTTCGCGACTAACAGCAGCAACAACGATTAAAACTTACTCGTTTATCCTAGCTTTCCCCCAACCTTTAACTTGTCTAAGTATGCAAGCCTTCCCATGTCAATATACTTTTATAATGATGTATCATTTTATAATTTATTGTAAACCACTTTTGGATCTTTAAAAGAGGATGTGGCATTTAAATACGCTAAACTTGCTTCTAATTCAATATAATAATAATATTATTACACTCCATTTATATGTCACCTTCTTCCTCTTGCAAGGAAGCCATGGTGGTTTACAAGGTTCTCTTCTCATTTTATCCTCATAACAACAACCATGTGAGTGGCCCAAAGTCAGCCAGTGAGCTCCATGCCAGAGTGGGGACTAATGTAAGTGTAATGGTTGTCCAAGGCAAGTACCATAAGGTCCAGCAGAGACCCAGTTCTCTCAAACAGACATAGGGAAATCCATGAAGATCAAGTTTGTGTCCCACATTACCTTTTATGCAGACAGGGGTGCAGGCTGGCACTGCATGCACCATAGTGAGTTTATGCAAGAGTGAACTGGCCCTGATTTTTTTTTTTTACCAAAAGTTGTTTCATGCATCTCCGCGGCCATTAAACAATCATGGCAAGATCATGTGGAGGAACTGTAGCTCAGTGGGAGAACCTCTGCATGGCATGCAAGAAGATCCATGCTCAGTCCCCAGCTTCTCCAGGTAGGACTAGGAAGCAATCCTGTCGCAAGTCCGGGACAACCATCGCCTCTCAGGGTTGACCATACTAAACCAGAAGCGTTCATGGTCTGACCCAGAATAAGTCATCTTCCTAAATTCTTACATCCTGATCTGGATATGTGGAAAGCCAATCACATGATGGTCTTACATGAGAAACAGAGCTCCCATATCAGCTCATAAGCCATGTTTTTCAGTGGAATGAATTCACATATTCAGATAGCAGCAGAATCAAGTGATGGGAAACAGTATGTGCCTGGAGTGTTCCCAGAGGCACTGTAAGATCTTTCCCTTTATGGTATTTTCCTTTCTCGAAAGGGATTTATTTCATCATACAGTATAGAGCAGCTGCACATCCTTACGTAATTTAGATCTAACACAGCATTCAGTCTTCTTGCTGCAAGCCAGGGAGCTGTTCATCTCCCAGTGTGTTACACAGTGTTCTGCACTTGAGATTATTTTGTTTTAAGTAACCAGCAACAGTGTCTTTTTTTCAAAACCCCAGAAGGCCAAACAACTTGGACAGATGCCATTTCTTCAGCATTGCATCTAACTGTTTTTGTTCTGGTGCCCATGGCACATTTTCAACAAACTTGTATGCCTCTCTGTAACCAGCTGGGATCAACAGCACTCTTCCTCCCATCTGATTCAGCTACAAGGGTGCCCTCTTCTGGAGCATATTTTTAAAGCCATTCTATCAATCCTGCTTTACTTTAGGTGAGTGCTAGAGTGCTATTTAGCACCCTATTGATACCACTTTGAACAGGAAAAATATTATTCATGCATGAACTCAGCACGCTATGGATCTTGAAGGTTACAGAGTCCATATCTCTGCTTTCATGCAAATTATCCTCTTCCCAGTCCCACATGATGCTTCTTATAGGTTAGCCTGCATGATCTAGAGTATGCTTTCCACCTGGTAATCCAAGGTGATGGTATTTTTCCTTGCTTGGAAAAAGCAACTTTTCTGAAACTTCTAACTCAAAGTTTTTCGATGCTATATTTGTTCTCATGAGTGTGTGTTGCTCCTTGCATTTCTGAGCAGAATGAGGCCACACATTCATCAGGGAAAGCTGACCCTATAATTTGCTGTCAAATTAGCTTAATTTGCTTAGGTTAGGATGGATCAGCTTCAGGACTACAAATTCCATAATCCCTGACATTCGTCAGGCTGGCTGAAGCTTGTGGGAATTGTAGTCCCAAACATCTGGTGGGCACTGACTTTTTTTCCTCTTGAATTAGACAGATAGCAGTCATGGGATTTTGAAATGCATAGATGCCATATCCAAGTGCCATGAATCCTAATCATGTGCTAGTGTGGTGTGATAATGATCCCCCCACTACAATTAGGAACACTGAATGGGGCTACATACATACAAGGGCAAATGTCACAGAACCTCTGGACAAATGGAACACAAACTTGCTCAATGGCAACACCAAGAGGAAGTCAAAGCAAGGCCATACCTTGTAAATGCAGGACTTTGCATTCAAGAAAAACAATTCAATGGTAGCATTATCCTTTAGGTAGGATATGCTCTCAATGTAGAACCTGGAAGGGAAACACAAAAATTCCATAAACTTAGCAAAGAAATTTCAGTCAACAAACTTCTAAGATATTATTATTATTACATGGAACAAATGTGCTCAGTAAAATCTGCAGTGCTGAGACAGAGAGAAAAGGGAATTCTTTGGTCTTTTGTTTTGGTGATTGTGTTATGACTGTTAGAAAGATATGTGTGTCCCTGAAGACATAATCATTCAGCATTGCTGAATGTGTAAGTCCTCTGCAATATGAAATACATTAATGCTTGTTTTATTTTCACAGGTTGATATATGGCTCCATAAATATTTTAGGCTGGGATGCTTTTCTTTTTTCCCATTCCCTGTCCTTGACAATTGTGCTGCTTTGCTTCTTAAGAAACAGCTACATTGCAGCCTGGGAGTAATTGCTTTTGAAATGGCTTTTGGGGGAAAATAATTAAAGAGAGAAATGACCCCTGACTGTGGATGTAAATGAAAATAGCTAAACCACAGTCAGTGGGGTAGTGAATCTGTGGAGTTCTACATCACTGCACACAACTCCTGATGCAATCCTGCACTTGGCCCATGGAAAGAGACATTGTTGCATAATGACTATGAGGTGAAGAGGTGAAACACGTTCATAGTCAAAATATCATGCCCAACAAGAACTGCCTAGGGGCCTCTCTCTCAGCCTCAGCCCCAGAATCTACAGCATGAAAATAATGTTGTTCTACGTAAGTTCTGCTAAAATGTCGGTAATGTTTAAAGGTGGCTCTCAGTAGCATTGTGGAGAAAGCAGGTCAACGCAGGGTTTAAAGCAGCCTTTCCCAGCTTTCTGACCTCCAGATATGTTGGATTACAGTTCAACACAACTGCAGAAAGCACCAGGTGAGAGAGGGCTGGCCTAAGGCAATTTAGGGAGGCCTTACTCTGTCATGCCAATGAAGAGACCTGCATCGTCAGAGGTTACAAGATTCATCACTGAGAATTTCAGGATCTTGATTCTGGCTTGTTTTATTTAGTTCTTTATTTATTCCTTCAGCTTCTTATTTGTTTTGTTAAGCCAAGGCAGTTAACACTAAAATTCAGCATAAAAGCCAATGAATTCGACTATAATGCAAGTATCAAATACAATACAATAACAAATATGCATACACATTTATTATTTATTTATTATTATTAAATACAATGCCGTTTAAAAAATAAAGTAACAAATCTTGCAGCCATCTTTTTTTCTATTCACCTGAATGCTTACCAGGACTCAACTGTGTGCCTGCTAAGTTCTTTGATAGAACAGTTTAGAATCACCAGAACACAAACCCAGTGAAGTCTTCAATGTCATTGCCCCTCCCACCCTATTTTCATCACTCAGCCACTTTCACCACCGGTCAGAGCAAATGCTCATTTTCCTGTCCCAGATCAGGAACCATGCAATGGAACCATGGATGGTGCAGGTTGGAGAAGGCACAGCAAGGCCTGTAACCTCCTGGGTATCTGCTAGTAGTGATAGGAAAATTCTTCTGGAGCACTTGGCCACAAATGCAACATTTGGATATTAATTCCAAATTGGGATAATGTAGCAGTAATGGCTCTAATCCAGATATATTAGATTGGCTGATTTCTGCTGAAAACATTTGCAAAGGTTATAGTACCACTCATCCAAATAACCTGTTCTTGATCTTCCTTAGAAGTGACAGGTTACATACACCTCTGTACCTTCAAAGATAAGTAAGTGGGATAAATGTAGCATAAGTGACTGTGAAAGCTTACGTGGAAATACTTTTCAAATTCCCATATGGACCACAATAACAGCAGGTGGTCCTGGATCAGGCTTCTGTTGCCACCACCCTTCAATATGTGGCTAAGAATTTTGTTTTGCTCTGCAGGGCTATTGAAAAGGTTGCTAAGGTAACATGCTCAGTCTCAAGTGTTCCCCAGATGAGAAGTTTAGTGACAACAGTGGTGAATTTCCAACCTCAGTCTGTAATGTTTGAAAAGTGCAAAACCATAGCATTTGAAAAGTCACCAGAGTGGTAAGTAATTGGCACTATTTAACAAATGGCTATGTGTCCATTTCCTGCACAATCTAGATCAGGGTAACCATTATGGTGCTTTCCAGTTGTTTTGGAGTACAACTCCCATAGCACTTTAGCATTAGTAATACTGACTGGCTGATGCTGATGGGAACTGTAGGATGAAACATGTACAGGGTACCATGCGGCCTACTCCAAATAGCTGAACAATTTAGATGCTTCTGTCAGTCACCAGAGGGCAGCATTGAATCTCTTAAACCTATAACGAAAGCCCACCCAGTTGCTCTTCAAAACTACTCAGTTCATACAAATTAAAGTACTTGGACATTAAAATCTATATGAATAAGAATAAGCATACATTCTTGCCTAGCTAAGAGTTTTCACTTGAAGTTTGAGAACTTCAAAGAAACTGTAACTCTCCAGTGATCCGCAAAGCACATTTGCTGGGAAGTTCTTGGAAAATATGTGTCAGTATAAACAAAAAATGTATACATTTCCATGAAAATAATTATCTTTATTTAAAAAATGTTTATGCTCTGTGAAAAATCTTTGATGGAAAGTCTTCTTATTGTATACTTGGAAAACTAGAACTTTATTCCCTGTGAATTCAGAGCCTACAGTGAATTAGAACAATGGCTTTCTGTTTTTATTTTGCCCATGTTAACATTTTTAAAGCATAAAACTCTCCTTAAGCAGAGCAAAATGTTCTTTTAAGTAGCAACTGCTTACCATACATGAGAAGAAATGATATCTTCTCATTGCAATAACTAAACATAACTTCAGTAATTTTTGTGAGAGAACACAGTGCAGAAAAATACACAAAGTTGGACTTGTCTGTAAGCAAGACATCAAAATTGGAAACTTCAGAGTTTCTTGTGCTTCAAAACTGCCATCTCTGCTGCAGACTCTTATGTGACCTTGAACAGATCTCTATCTGGATACATCCCAAATGCACACTGCAAGTGCGGGAAAATACACGCAAACCTCGATAGGTAAGCCTATCAGCATGGGCTTACCGAATTGTACATTAGTGGCTTTGGCTTTGGATTACACAGTATCTATCTACAAAGGTCATGCAAGACTGTAAAAACTAATGTAATCTGTATGAATTCCCAAGCAGCCTAAGTAGAATGCAAACAACCTAGACTTCTAACGATTAAATAGGAATACATAAGGGGTGAAAGAGAAGGCATTTTCCTGACCACACTGGGTACTTTCAAACAAAGGGCTTCTTGCAATACTGATCAGAAGACATCATGCGGCTATTCCATCTTTTCCCCCGATGGTTTTCTGCTATAAGAGAAAAGGTGGAAAAAATGACTGGAAAAATGGGATGGTCATGAAAGCAAGATGGCATCATGGAGAACCTCTGTAAAATTCTGGGAATGATGGTGCCATGAAGCTTGTTTTGGGGCACCCAGTGTCCCCTATTAATACTTTGGATGAGTTCCCAGAAAAATCAGAGCGGGGAAACCCCCTGCTGAGCCTTGCAAAAATCACATGGCCTTCCTAATCTTGCTTTGGGTGTCTCTTCCTGAAGCTCCTTGCTTTTTAGTATGCGAGCTTCCCTAATTACCTGACAGCCTTGCTCCCTAACACACAACCCTGTTCCAGTCTTCACCTTTAGACAGACATTTCAGGCTTGCACTCAACTAGCTTTGGAATGATGCAGTCTATCACTGACACAGCCATGAGAGAGCCTGCCTTGTGTTGCAAGAGCTTGTCACACAAGCATCTCCTGTGCTCATGTTCCACTACTGTAATTCTCTATGAAGAATACACACACTACATAGGCAGACTCAACGGACATCTAAAATAGAATTCATGTCTCATTCACAGATGAACACTGAACAAAGCTCAATGAGGTTGTGTCCACTTTTCCTGTCTGATGTGCATTTCCGTCTGGGGTGTGATGGAGCAAAAAACAACCCCCTTGCTGATATGCTAAGTAATCAGCTGGAAAGGAATAAGAAAAGCAATAAAGCCATTTCTGCTTCCCCCTCTGAGAGCAGCACTCTTTATATCAATTTTATCATTTAGCGTGACAGTCTTCTGAGAGCAGAGAAAGTAGGATCCCTCCCATGTTCAGCCCTATTCTCAATCTATCCCAAAATGCTAGCAATCAGAAGTAATCATGAGCAATTTAGCTTTGTTATGCTGGAGACCAAACCTGAGGAGAATACATCTCCTCTGCTTCTGTCTTTGTCCAAGTGTGTGAGGTCTGATTTTTTCCCCTTTTAATTCTATAGCTGTACCCTACACTACCAAAGTGTGTGTGTGTGTGTGTGTGTGTGTGTGTGTGTGTGTGTTGATTTTTACCCCTGGTACTTATTTGACCATACCAAATGTATTTGCTGTCTGGTCTTTCCTCATAACAGGATACAGCTGCTACAACTTTGCTTTGCATCAGGATCATTGTTGCCAGTGTTATGGTTTGCACGGCTGATAGAACAATAAATTATGGGAACTGAAGTCACAAGCCCAGCTAGCATGGAATCAAGGAACAATGTGAGGGCATGCTATTGGATTTATTTTTCTTAAAAAGGTGAGTTTAAGCCAGTACTCTCCAAACTTTTAAGGGCCACCAACATAGACTATAGGACTTACTTTTTCAATGCCCTATTTGCCTGACTTTCTCTTTGTGTTATCATTTCTTTTTCCCTCAGCCATTTCATATACAACAAAAACAATGGGACAGCTGTCTCCCTTTTAATGGGAGTGATTTCTGGATGAAAGAAGAATGTTATGCTTAGGCATAATGGAAAATTAGGATCAAACCACATAGGATGTTCAATGTGTGGTTTGCACTTATACAAGACCTTTGTGAGTGGGGCTGCCAAGCAATTTCTGCCAGACATGAAGTGCAACTGAAAGGACAAGGAGCTGTTTAGGGACCCTCTCCACATATCCCAGAAGGAACAGCAAGAGGGGCAGGCCGATCTATGTTCAGGGAGAGAAACCCACTGGACAGTTCTGCTGACTTGACTACCCTCTGTCCTTTGCCACATGCCAGAACAAAGTGTATCATGCTGCTTTTGTTGTTGTTGTTAGTCGTGAAGTCGTGTCCGACACATCACAATCCTATGGACAACATTCCTCCAGGCCTTCCTGTCCTCCACCATCTCCCAGAGTCCACTTACGTAAGCTGACACCAACTGCTTCAGTGACTCCATCTAGCCACCTCATTCTCTGTCGTTCCCTTCTTCTTTTGCCATCTATTGTTCCTAGCATTACTCTTCTCCAGGGAGTCCTTCCTTCTCATTAAGTGGCCAAAGTATTTGAGTTTCATCTTCAGGGTCTGGCCTTCTAAAGGGCAGTCAGGGTTGATCTCCTCAAGGACTGACCGGTTTGATCACCTTGCTGACCAGGGGACGCGCAGGAGTCTCCACCAGCACCACAATTCAAAGGCCTCAATTCTTTGGCGCTCAGCCTTCCTTATGGTCCAGCTTTCACAGCCATACATTGCAAATGGGAAAACCATAGCCTTGACTATATGCACTTTTGTCGGCAGGGTGATGTCTCTGCTTTTTAGTATGCTGTTTGGATTTGCCATAGCTTTCCTCCCAAGGAGCGTCCTTTAATTTCTTGGCTGCAGTCCCCATCTGCGGTGATCTTGGAGCCGAGGAGAATAAAATCTGTCACTACCTCCATTTCTTCCCCATCTATTTGTCAGGAAGTGAGAGGACTGGATGCCATGATCTTAGTTTTCGTAATGTTGAGTTTCAAGCCAACTTTTGCACTCTCCTCCTTCACCCGCATCAAGAGGCTCTTTAGTTTCTCTTCACTTTCTGCCATGAGAGTGGTATCATCTGCATATCTGAGGTGGTTCTTTTCCCCAGCAATCTTAATTCCAACTGGTGATTCATCTAGCCCCACCTTTCTCATGATGTGCTCTGCATATAAGTTAAATAGGCAGGGTGACAGCATACAGCCTTGCCAAACTCCTTTCACATTTTGAACCAATCAGTGGTTCCATGTCCAGTTCCCACTGATGCTTCTTGACCCGGGTAAAGGTTTCTCAAGAGAGAAATAAGATGGTCTGGTACTCCCATCTCTTGAAGAACTTGCCGCAATTTGTTGTGATCAACATAATCAAAGGCTTTAGCATAGTCAGTGAAGCAGAAGTAGATGTTTTTCTGGAACTACCTAGCTTTCTCCATGATCCAGCGTATGTTGGCAATTTGATCTCTAGTTCTTCTCCCTCTTCGAAACCCTGCCTGTACTTCTGGTAGTTCTCAGTCCACATACTGCTGGAGCCTAGCTTGTAGGATTTTGAGCATAACTCTGCTAGCATGTGAAATGAGTGCAATGGTGTGGTAGTTTGAACATACTTTGGCATTGCCCTTCTTTGGGATCAGAATCATGCTGCTACTTGTGAGTAAACAACAGGGAAGTGCCACAGAAAGCAGAATGGCTCAATTGATTCCCCTTCTGGTCCTTGTCCCTTGTGCTGTTTACTCATGTGTCAGTGGCAGGAAAGAAAAGCAGCCTTTTGCTAGCCATGGGGTGGAGAGTGACAGCGGTCCCCCTTTTCTCAATCTGGCTTGCCAAAGGTATTTTTTGAAGTGTTTTTGCAAGTTGGGAATGCCTTTTTGGCAAGCCAGTGAGAAAGGGAAATGATGGGAGAACCTGCAACTGTGCACTATCTCCGACTGGGCTCTGCTGCCGATAAGATTCTTGCTACTCCTGCTCATGTGGGAGCTGCAGTGGGGAAATCCACTGAGCAGTGCTGCTCTTCTCCCAGCACTCGTCAGCTAATCACCTGCTCTTTAGGGCAGGAGGTAGGAAGAACAGAAGTGACAGCTGTGCCAAATGGAAGCTGTCATGGGCCACTCTTGCCAAGTGGCTCAATAGTCTCGGCGTCAGTACTGCCAGGAGTTTTGGTTTCCAGTCCGGATAGCACCATAAGTAGTTGTGCTGCTGAGAAACCATGCCACAGACCCTTGTTTCTGTGCATGGTGCCTCAAAACCAAATTTGCTATGTGGAAATGCCACAACAGGGTTCAGAGGTAAACAACCGCCATTGCATTTCATGCTGTGTGAACCCAGCCAAAAGATGTTGTGTGCAAAGTACCCAACAACAAAAGGATGCTAAGAGACAAGGCAGCTGGAAGTGTAGACACAGCCTTGTCATCTGAATTATGTATGGTAAGTATTTTTAGGTTTAATGTCCCCCTTTTTCCACAAATAGGAAGCAGCTTTTTTACCTTGCAATCTTTGCTACTCAGAAGTGTTTGAGAGTTTCAGTAGAGATTTTTCTCCCTTTTAACTCACTGCATAGTGATTTGAGTGCATGTATCCTCTGCTGATGGTGACTAGATCAAGCAGAGATGATTTATTTCCAGTGGACCTATTGTTCTAGCAGTACTGATTCTTGCACAGCAGAGGACACATCCAGCAGCACCATTCCCAGCTGCCACAGATAAGCTGCCTAGGTCCAGTTATCAACAGAGCCAGCCTTGGGAATTTGATTGTGACAGATAAACAATTAGGACATTTGGTTGATCCAATCTGAATAACAGGAAGTTTGCTGTCTCCCCTCCCTGAAGTGCCAAATAACTAATCATAAGGATGTCTGGGAAGGTATTTGAGTGATAATACATTCCCAAACTGGGCAATAGCAGCTTTTTTAGAGGTCTGCTACAATAGGTAAATGCATAGCTTATTTAAGAAGAAGTGATGATTGCCAACAGTTTAGATGACTTTTTAAAAGTCTGAGACAAATTCATGGAGGAATGGAGGTCTATGAACAGCTAAATGGAAATTTCATGTTAAGAGACAGTATACTCCTAAGTAACAGGTACTTATTTCAGAGAAAAGGGAAGAGCTGCTGCCTGTTTGTGGTGTCCCCAGAGGCTTCTGGCTAGACTAGATGGGTTTTTACGTTCTTATGCAGTTAGACTTGCATTTACTGCACAAAAGCAAGTTTGCAAATTATGGCATTCTATTATTGAGATGATAGGAGCAGGATGACAGTCTGGCAGACAGCCGTACCATTAACATTACTTAAGGTGTGTTTAGGTTTTTAAGTCTTCCTACTTACTTTCTAACCCTTTCTTCCTTGCCCATTTAGATCAAATCTTGGTGATCCTCTCTATAGCTTCCTGCATTTACATTTCACACCACTGGCTTCCTTCTGTCTTGTCCCCTATGTGTTTTTCTCTGGCTCTCTCAACTTAACTATTGGATTGAAAGAATAACACTCCTGTCTTCATGGTTTCTTCCTGTGTGCTGAGTTAATCTGTCACTCCTCTCTTTTTAAATGCTTCCCTAATGCCTACTTCTGCAAACAACATGCGCTTTATCTTTACAAATTTCCTTCCTGCCTTGCACTGTTCCCCAATGCATTCTTTTTTTTAGTTTAGACTGCAAAAAATGGCTTGACACTGAGTCTTATATGCATCCATAAAGATCTACATCTCTGATGCTTAGTTAATGACATATGCATAACTGAACACAGTTCAAATGTCAGCTCCTAATTGTCCATCCACAGCCCATATCTGCCCATGCATTTTTCTGCTGCACATGTCTCAGCACTTATTTATCAAATATGAGTACAACCACATACTACATTTACCCTGACTTAGCTGCATGGCTTCCCTCATAAAATCCTGGAAATTGTCAGTGAGGAGGCTGAACATTCTCTGTTAAGATTCTTAGCAGCCCCACTCAATAACTATACTTCCCAGATTTCCTGAGGAGAGAGTGTTCCAATTAAACCAATTCTATACTTGGCACAATCTTACACTTGGGATACCCTTGCTGAAAACCTAAACAACATGATGAAAATCTTGCTACACCAGTATAGCACCAGATGCATGGTTTCATGACAGATACAAGAGCACAGGGCCAATATGCCCAGGAACTATGATTTTTACATGCATGTCTACTGAGTTAGATAAAAGATGCACTAAGAACAGCAGCAGAAATGTTGCTAGGTATGTCTCTAGCAAGTGTCAAGTGCAGTATCTGACCTTAGGTTAGCTTCCCCAAACAGTCATCCTCCAGTGCATCTGGAGGACACCAAGTTGGAGAAAGTCACTCCAGTAGATTATATCATTATTTTTAAATATTTATATCCCACTTTTCCACTTTGAAAGCAGCTATATTTTTCGTTACATCAAGCACACACATTAAAAATGGGGTGCTAAAGTTAAAGTACCTTCGTATACTTGATTACCTTATACTGTGCCAGACCACTGGTCTGTCTCATTTTGTCGACTTTGACTGGCAGCTCCTTTCTAGATTGCATGCCCTGAATCCTGGGAGAAGCCCATCGTTGTCTCATGACTGCCAAGCAGCTGGGCAGCGCTTCTCCAGCCAGCCACAGGAGCCTCTCTAGTTACCGACCAAAGTCACTGCCTGTGTCAAGGACATGCCACTCACCTGTGGCACTTCCCCCGCTTGGATCCAGCAACTTCCTATGATGTGTGCCACTCCACATGCTAAGGCTTCCACGCTATACATACTTACCTGGGAGAAAGGTCCCATTGAACTCAAAAGGACCTACTTTCAAGAAGAGGTGCATATAAGGACAAAAGGACAGAAGCCTGTCAAGGTACACTTTGAGAGATGACAGGACAAAAGATATACTCACCTGACACAGAAGTACAAAACCACTGGTCCTGACTTTTTGGGGAAGTCATGTTCCAGCACTCGGCGATCCAACTGAAGCCAATTCAGATGGCCACTGGTAAGAGAGGAAAACAAAAAATGCTTGGCTCAAATAGCAACAATAGGCATTATTAGACTATTTGCAATGATTTAGATCATGCCATTGCCTTGCTCCATTCATGCAGTTTTGTGGGGAATCCAGGCAACAGAGTGTCCTACTCATAACCTTCCTGTTTTCCCACCACTTCTTCTTTACTAGAAAAAATCCATTAAGGAGAAAAAAGCAGAATTGCTGCATGATACTTCCCAACTGGTAGTGCTAAAAGACATCCATCTGGTTTTCATTTTATTATTGTTACAGTGTGAATAACTTTTTCCTTTTTTCCTCTGGTGAAGAAACAAAGGCAGCTTCCATAGTTCTCCTTCACTCCATTGCTATCCTCTGAACAACAACCTTGTATAGTAGTTTAGGCTGACAATGTGTGACTGGCCTGAATTCACCCAATGAGCTCCATGACTCAGTGGGGACCAGATTCTGGATCTTCCAGGTTTCCAGTCCAGCACTCTAACATTGGCTCTCTAACCACTAGATGCACCCTAAGAAAGATTGATTGACTGATTGCATTTGTACGCCACCCCATAGCTCATGGGCGCTCTGGGCAGCTTGTATAGCATACATAGCACATCAGCTGACATAAAAATAATAAGTAAACAATAACAGCTAAAAACTGCATAAAATCATACTAATATAAAGTACAAAAACAAGAGGATAAACAATAATCCAAACAACAATAAAACAAGCAGTGAAAAAACAAAAGAAAACATAATTCTAAAAACAAAGAATGAATAAATAAAAAGGTGTTTACTTGGTGATGAAAACAAAATAATGTGGGTGCCAGTCACACCTCCCTTGGAAGGGAATTCCAAAGGTGAAGTGCAATAACAGAGAAGGCCCTTTTCCTAGCTAATTTCCCCCTCACTTCATTGGGGGAGGGGGGTCACGAAGGACAGCCTCTGTTGATGATCTGAGTGGTCTGGTAGGGATATATGGATACAGGCGTTCCTGTAGATATCCCAGCTCCAAGCCGTTTAAGGTGTTATATGTTAGTCTGAGCACTTTGAATTGGGCCCAGGCAGTAACAGGCAGCCAATGCAGTTGGCAGAGGAAAATGACACAGAAAAGCTAGGTGACCATGTGGTATTTGGGAAATACACACATCATTGCAGTGGAGAAGGCGGCGATATCATTTTAGGCACAAATGTTTAACATATAAACCTGTCAGAGTACGAATGGAAGATGTACAATGAGAAAAGGGAGCACCAAACAGATAAGAGTTTTGTTCTTTACTCTAGCTGTGCCACCCTTGGTGTGACCATACAATTGAAAGCCTGTCAGGTTTTCCATTAAAAGTCGTTAATGCAAGGAGTTTATACAAGAACTGTAATATTTCACGTCAGGCTAAAACAGAGCCAAACAATGCTTCAGACATTTTATTTGCCACCCAGTACGTCTGGAACAGCCTTGTAAATTGAGCCTGCCAAGCTGCCTTTCAGGAGAGTTTTTGAAAGTGCTGCTGCTTCTGCCTTGCACACTCACATGTGCACACACATGGAATAAACTGTAGTTACTACATGCTGCTCTCAGTTTGACATAGCGATACTATTTTGTCCCATTTCTCCAGTAAAGCTAACAACAGCCAATCTTTCTTCCCACACTGCTGAAGTTGTGGCAGAGAGGTTTTTTTATCCCCTGCCTAGTCAGAGGCACTGGGCAGAAAAAAGCATGTTATTTGTGTGCACAACATAGGAAGATGAGGGCATGCAGGGATGCATGAACATTAGATGTCACCTTACACTACATCAGACCCTTAATTCATCGAACCCAGTACTATCTAGTTCTCAGGAATCACGTACAGCTCTTTGCCAGCACTGCTGCTAAGTTAGGAAATTAAATTGAAACCCTTTGATGCAAAGTAAGCCTTGTTTATTAATTATATTTACATCTGACTTTTCTCCCATTGTGAAACTCAAGGGGGCTAAATGTGGTTCCCAGGTGGTCTCCCCTCCAGGCTCAGACCAGCCCCAGACCTGCTTAGTTTCAATATGGTGGGTGTCTTATATACCTCAGACCATACCCTTCACAGAACTGTTATTCCCCTCCTGCATTAACAGGACGTTGTGCTGCATGTAGTGAATATGTGTTCTCTGCAGCTAGACTCTGGATGGGTCAGACAGGACATAAAAAGGCAACTATGCAGCCTACAGTTTCTGGGTACCAAAGAAGAGATAAGCTGATTCTCTGATTGGAATATTTTGGTTGTGTAGACCCACTTCCACCTGTGATCTGTAATGGTCACAGTAAATGAGTTGGTCTGGCTGGTCCTCAATGTAGGGATCTGTTTCTTGCGTGGATTGTGTACACTCACCCCCTTGCCCTTTGTCTCTGTTCCTTGACTGACCCACAAAAGCTATTTAATGAAGACAGTAGAGCATAACCCATAAGTATGTATGCCATACTCAGCAGTACTTCTCTAATACCACCATCTACTTCAAAGTGGTCTTCAGCCAAATTTCTTCAGTTGCATATTCACTTTACTAGCTTTCACTAGACAGAGACTCTGTTCTCTCCTCTGATGTTTTATGTATTCTGCATGAATGACAATGAAACCACTTTCTGCAGTATTGAATGTACAGTGTTTTCTTATTGCCAAGCTATTAAGAACATGTGGTCATGGTAACAACGATGGTCTAGCATGGATTCTACCAGTGCAAAAACTTTTGGGCAACCTGCTCTTGGCCAGGAAGGAGGGAAGATTATGGTTGTTGCAATCCATGGTGTTTCGTTTCTGAGTCAATTTTTAAACCCATGCCCATCACTACTATGAAACATGCCTTCAAAGATACATGCACTTTCCCCTCTTCTGATTATCTGACAGTTACTTTTCATTCCTAGGGCAGGCTTAATTTTTTTAAACCCTATTATATTGACAAAGGTTTTCCAATCACCTAGATGTAGAAGAAAAAGGACCACAATTTATTTGCTTTTCTTTCAGCTCTTCAGAAGCATAGGTCCACTGTGATGGGGATATAAATGCAAATGTTTTCTGGTATGAGTATTTCATGCATCTGAGGTTTTACTGGGCCCCCAGTTTCAAATTTCATTACAAACATTTCACTTGGATAGATGTTGATAATGCTGGTGTACCGAGAAGGGAACCAGTGAGACATCCATCGCACAGCATCCCCTTGCTATTCAAGGCTGCCCCACAACCTTCCCATTTCTTTAAAACCCTGTGCTGTAATTACAAGATCATTGGTCTGTGGGCCCAATCTGACCCTATTAGTGAAATCTCTTGTGATTATGTCTTTGAGACAGGATCTGTCTCATGACACCTGAGTTAGATGGGAAGGAGGATGAGTTAGCAGACCTTGGGGAACTCTTACCTTCCAAAGCTGTTTTTTTCTAGAGATCCCCACTTTAAAAGGCAGAGAACATAGAGGCTATTTAGTGGTTCTATCAGTGCACAGAAATATCCCTGAAATTCTAATTAAGAGGTGGGGTGACAGTCGCTAAGTACTTCTTGAATATAAAGTAGGCTGAGCAATGTGTATCCCTCCTGATGTTTTGGCCTATAACACCAATCATCCCTCACCATCCCTCACTTTGCTTACTAGGGCTAATGGGGGTTGTAGTTCAACACAACTGGAGGGCCACAAGTTGCCTATCCCCAATGTAAGGGCTCAGCTGAGATAGTGAATATTGTCAGTCTGTTGATACCTGGCTTTCCTAGGAGCTCTCCCAGGTCCTGACAAGCCTGAGTCTGGCCTTGCTATCTGCTTGCGTGGCAGAATGACTCTTGCCAAAACTCAGTCTAAACCACGCTTCCCTTGAAGTCTGGCAGAACCAGGTCTCTTTTCTGCTGAATTAACTCTGTTAGCTGTGCAGTTGTACAGGTTTAAATCACAGAACATCCACAGCCCACGACCTGCAGTATAACTTTTTTGGAGACAGCTTGACCTTAAAGGTGATGATTAATGCTGTAAAATGTTCCTAAGATCTCTAAAACATTTTGCTTTTAAAGCATGACAATCTAATCCTGGTCATGCTGCATGAAATAACGACCCTATATTACCAAAAGGAGATATTAAGTCACCAACACAAAGGTTGTTCCTATTGATTTTCTATTCCAGTTGTCATGAGACAGTACAGCTAATGAATGGAAGTCCCCAGTACAAATCATTTCTAAATAAATTACACCTGCAGAGGTTTTCCTCTTGAGCTGAAGAATTACTTCCATATTATTTTAGGGTTGCCACCACAAACCTCCCATTTCCTTTAAACACAGAGTCTAAACCAACATCAATGGATTTCTTCAAGGGTTCTCAAGGGTTTAGATGAATTTTTTAAAGCAAGTCAGGTACTTTTTGATTAATTTTTCAATTAAAAACAGGACATTTTGAGGTAGAGGTATCTGGAGGCTAATAACTTTTCTTGACTAAACAGCACACTATAAAAATCCCTGCAGCACAGTTGACCAGCATATCTCCTCTCTCCTCTGTGGTTGCTGCTGCAACAATTCAGGTCTGTTCAGATGTTTCTGGGCACATGGTTCCAGTAGCAGTATATTTAGCATACCACAACATCTTTTGTGAGCTAGACTCCTTGCATGAAAAGCTAATTGTGCAACTCATGGAACAGCATGAGCCAAAGCCCTTGCACAGGTTCTGACTGCCACCAGTGAAATTGTGGCAGCACGCTGGGTATGAGATTACACAGAGCCAGCTGATGGGCAGGGATTATCTTACACTGGATGGTTAGCCTAGTGTACAAAGGGTTGCTGTATATATGTGATTACTTCCTAGGCCAGCTGTGAGCACAATGAACACAGAGCTCCTTCAGAAAACTGCTAACAGCATTCACAGTGGGCTTGGATTCAGTCTCTTACGCCTTTTCTTCCCTGCCAAAAAGCAGACAGGCACAACTGAAGGTTCTTCCAAAGGGCAAGTTGATACCACTGGACTGGGGACAAACGGTGTTTTGGGAGGCATGATCTTTAAGTCACTGGTTGCAGTTCAGCAATGCAACCTCACCTATACAAGGAGGGGTCTCCCTCTGTTAGCCAATGAATAACCTTGAACTCCAGCCTACAAAGACATCAGTGGAAGCTGTGGGCCTGCAAGGACTTTGGATAGCAGCCCTTGTCAGAATCTAGAACTGGAACAAATGTTTATATATGCAATGAAAGTGCTGAACTCCAGGTCTGCAGGCCAAATCCAAATCCAATGTTTCGATCTAGCCTTCTGGAGTTCCCCAGAAGTAATGCCTTCTTCCCTGATGCCAATTCCTTTCCCAGCCTGACCAATGATCTTTTGGTGGTTTCCTAACTTCTGCATGTTTTGCCCCATTTAAATGGTTGAAATGCCCCCTTTACCTTTGACCTCACCTGCCAATGAAATGCAGCCTGAGAGAGCTGCTCCAAAACTAAATCAATTCTTCATCCTGAGAAAATCTGAACACTCCTGATTCACAGCAATCCTCACTTGTTAATCCTACCTTGCAAAGGTCAGAACAATTTAATATCCACAGTATAACATGCAATGAATGAATATTTGCTTATTTATGACATTTCTGTCCTGCTTCTCAGCTTAAAGCATGTTACAGACATTTATGTATAAAATATCTGTGCCAAGTAATAAAATAAAGACAAACAAAGCATTCAATAGATATGAATCTGAAATTAGTTTAAACAGACAAATTCCACATGCTAAATGCAAAATTCAGTTGCAGTTAGAGACATTTTAGCCAGTGAACCAGCACCTTTCTCCTATAGGAGGCTTCCCAGATTTTAAGATTGTTGTGGAAGGCCCTTTTCTCAATACCACTGCCATCAGAGGCTCATTTGGAGAAGATACAAAAAAGGACTTCTCTGCAGCCAATCCCAGGCTCTAGAACTCCTTTTGCCAAAGAAAGCTAGTTGGCTCCCCTCTCTAGTAACTAGGCCTTTGGCATGTAAGCTGGTCTTTTAGAGAACCAAAGTGGTTTATAATTAGATGGTGCTGTTCATTTCTGTTATTGCTGAATTTTAAATTTGTCTGCATACCATATTTTAACTGAGATTTTATTCATCTCAATTTATTTTGCTAGCAACATTTAATGACATTTATGGGCAGAATGTTCTTATAGAAAAATAACTAAGTATATATCACAATCAGTTTTCTGTCAACCATTTGTCCAACAAATGCTTCCCTAAGTTTTTCGCTAGCCTCCTTAAACAGCATCTTCCAAATCATGTTCTGAAAAGTATATCAGGAGTTCCTTAGTTTGGTAAGGACAGACAAATATCCTTGAAAGAAAGCTTGTCTATCACTAATGACAGTCCCTTAATCTGCACAGTTGCATGCATACTCCCCCCACCCCCCCAGGGCTTTTTCTTAATTCACAAGAAGCAACAATGCAGTCTGGTCAGTATTCTCACATGAACTGAGCATGTGTGATGCAGAACAAAATGCACAAAAAGTTTCATGGAAGGTAAGAAGGGAGACAAAAGTGGCAGACAAACAGATGTGGAAATGGTTCCCTAGAAAGTTTTCAAACCATTGTACTACATGACAGGAGAAAGAGTTAATTGATTAAAGAATTCCAGCAGCTAGTATTTGCAGTCCTGATGTTTATGAAATACTAGCTCTTTGTGGGTATGCAGGCACATCTGCTCCAGTCTAGGCAAGGTGAGTGCTAAGAATCATCAGTGTCTAGAACCTGCTTATGGTTCACTGAAATCAGTGTTGGCTGTGTATCAGTAGCAATTGCTGGACTGCACCTTGGGAGACTAAGATATTTTACCATGCTGAAAAAACAGTTCGGAGTCTTGAAGATACTAATTGAATATTGATTATTTTCTTGCAACTATTGGACTCTTTGTGTTCTAGTCACTGTGTGATAAATGATTAACTAGGACAGACTTTATCACCTATAAAGAGCATCCAGTATAGAAAGACAGGAAGGTATGATTACACATAACAAAGGAGAAGCAGCTGCTTTCTTTTTTCTGCATGAAGTCTATTGTATTTGCGCTTCATCTGGCACTTTCTGGGCTACATGATTAAGTCTTCTATAATGTCATCATGCTTATATCCACATAGTATAGTGTATACAGACATGGGATTTCAATAAATTGGGTCAGCTTTCTAATCCTTGTGGTTGCAGGAAGACTTTGCAACTCAGGAAACACTATTCACAGACATCTTTGCCCCATGGAGTTACCTACCCTTCCTTTGCAGCCTCCAGGAAAGAAACCTATATGCATTCCCTCAAGATTTAGAAATATTCATACCCTGATCCTGAAACACTTACGTCTCATCTGTGAAGGCAATTCCAAAGTACTCCTTCTCTTTCAGGTTGAAATGCGATGCCACCAGGTCTAGCAGCTCCTTGGCCAAAAGCTTTGGCTAGAAGATAAAAACAAGACAAAAAACCCTATGCTTAGCTAAGGCAACAGAATATTTACAGAGTGGAAAGGAGACAGGGAACTCAAGGAGAATTCTGCCCTTTGAAACAATACAGTGGTGACTTCACAAGACATGTGCACAACGATAGCATCATCTATGCAATCAGGGCTGCTGATGGAGGCTGGCTGGGCCAGGCTCCACACAAATTCATATACTGCAGCATTGTGCTCTGCACCTGGCAATGTCTGGCAGCTACATCTCTGCTACAATGGGCATTATTCTGTAAATAAGCATTTATGTTGCACAGGCACAAAGACTGGCACCAGCCTCGAAGCTTGCAGGCATGTACAACCCTCATCACGGTGTGCTGTGTGAGCATCTTGACTACAGGCTTCCCTCCAGAACACTCGCAAAATTATTCCCAACTAAGCTTGGAAGAATCGCAATCACAATCACCACTAGATAGCATTGTGCCTCGCCCAGCCCTATCTTCTTTCACAACTCAGAATTCGTAAAGACTATTTCCTCCCATAGCTTTCATCCACCTGGAACAGTTCTACCCAGTCCAGTGCCCTCCAGATGTATTGGACTACAACCCCATAATCTCCAGCCTATATGGCAAATTATGCTTGCTAAGAATAATGGGAGTTGTAGTCCAACACATCTGGATGCCACCAGGCTGAGAAAGGGTGCTCTAAGAATAAGACAAAACTGGGTAGGTGGATTCAGGAAAATGCACAGTACTCGTTATGGACCCAGGTGAAAATGTCACACGGAAATTAATTTTGCACAAATGTGTTACAATACTAATTTGCAGAGCAACCTGTTTGGTTTGCCCAATACAGAAGAGAGATAAATGGAGGCTCTGGGGGTGTTTCAGAAATTTGTGGCTTACTTGAAAAGGTCCGAGCATTCCAGGGAATGCAAGTGTGAGGAATAAATAATCTTTGATTCAGGCAATCCAGATTACAGTCTTTACTTGACAGGGGTGAATTGCTCCAAGTACTGCAACGTTCATGCCAACTATTCCTGGTGAAATCTAGACAGTAATGGGAACTGCCAAATCAGACCGTATGCCTTTCATGCAGCTGCATCCAGGGAAGCAATAACTATTAAAACTTGCCTTAACACATTGCCCTCTAAGGGAACCAGAACTATTTACTTCGTATTAAGTTGATCCAGTAATACCATGAATACTTCCTCTCTGATTTCATTTATTCACACTAAGTAAATACATTTAGTTTTTCAGACATAAGATCAAGTGATAGGTGGTATGGCTTCCTCCTCCAATGCTGAACCTTATACTTGAGGATGGGTCTATGTCTTCAGTTCATCAAGGTAATCATTTTCTCTTCCCAACTCTGCTTAAATCTGCATCTTTGACAAAGCATTCTCCTAGACTACTGTGCCCCCTCATGTATGGATGTTTTGGGAATGCAATCTTTGCAAATGGCAAAGATTGAATTCCTGATTTGCACCTTCAGCACTACTAATTCTCCACTGCCTTTCACACTTCCTGAATGTTCTGAAGTTGTTCTTGGATCAACCCCCCTTTAAAATGATGTTTACAGATACCTGTATGGAAAGAAAATATATCTAGAGGTGCATATTTTGTGAAAACACAGTTAAGAATATTTAAATGCAAAGCTTTATGTGCATTTTAAAAATTCACAGATCAGTGTGGAATGGACTCATTGGTGGATACATGCAAACATAACATGCACAGATTCACTCATCTGTACCTTCACCCTGCTAGTGTTTTTATGATTACACTTCACCCCACCCTACTGCCCAGTCTCAGGATATCTCTTCCTACCAAATTTCCCAATACAGGCTGCAAGCTGTCTGGGGAGGGACTGTGTTATTTCTATATTATGCAGCTTGCTAACAGCACTGGCAGATTATAAAGCAGAGGTGGGCAACGTGTGGTTCTCCAGATGCTTTGGTCTTCAGGGCCCTTGAGGCCTAGCCAGCATAGCCAATGGTGAGGACTGACAGGAGTTGTGGAGGACTGCAAGTTGCACCTGTTGTAGAAGTGCAACCAGTAATAGTAATAATAGTAGTACTAATAGCAGGTCTTCCATTCCCACATTTTTTGGAAGGACTCCAAAGAATGTGCCTCTACTCCTTGTTGGTATCCTAGGTAATCTAAGCACAGTTAATAGGTTAATGTTCTTTTGTTGCACAGCATGCTCCATGTTCTGGTACACAGTCTGTTAACTCATGGGCCCTGAGAATAATAAATAGATTTTGTATCATTATTGAGAACACCCACTCATTAGACTAGGTAATCTGCAGTGAGTTTTAGATAACAAGGCAGAGTAAGCTTTGCAAAGATCTACCCTCTACCCATTAGAAAGTGAGCTTTGGCTGTTGGCGGTATGGAATAAGTAAGTAAAATTAGCAAGACGTTACTAACTTGGGCAGATGTGAGCAGGTTAGTGAAAATAATTCTCATGTAGTTCTTGTGTGGGAGTCTGCTTCAGTCTTGGAAGAACCTCTGACTTGTAACTCAGTGTCATATGCTGCAGTCCTACATATGCTTACCAGGGAAAACATCCCACTGGCTTGAGTTGAATTTCTTTCCAAGTAAACATGCAAAAGATCAAGCTGGTATCCAGCCGTGGCAGCTTCCCCCACCCCATCCTCAGCATGCATACTTGCTTTACAGGGCTTAAGGAAGGGGCCCTCAAACTTTTTCAATAGGGGGCCAGGTGAAAGGTGGTGATGACCCACGGAGGCCGGTTAGGTAGGGGGCCTGGGCATGCGCGCTGGTGAGACGGTGGCGGGTGCGTGCAGCGGCGGCTCACTTGATCTCCCAGTGTCCAAAACCATCTCCGAGCGAGCAAACCATTGCCTCTCCACCCACGCTGTGAGGTGGGCAGTGAGTGCGCGCACATGGGGGAAGCAGGCAGTGGCGGTGGCTCGCTCGCTCCGAGATTTCCCGCTGAGTCCAAAACCATCTCTGAGTGAGCAAGCCAAACGTGCATGTGGACGGCGACTTGGGCCAGATAAATGGGCATGGTGGGCTGGGTCCGTCCCACGGGCCACAGTTTGAGGGCTCATGGCTTAAGGCATCCCACACACATCAGGTCAGTCCTCCTTATGAAAACAGCCTTGTAAAGAAGTTCAGAAGTATCATACTCATATCACAGCTTGGGAGGTTGATGCCAAGAGTGACTGAGTTGAGACAACACAATAGCACATGCTCAAATGTGGGCTATCGTGTTGAATGAACCCAGCTCAAATTATAAACCATGGTAAGCAACCCACAGTTCACAACCCACAACAAAGCAAGGGTTCTCTTTATGGGCTTCTGGTTAACAAACTATGACGCATTGGAGAGAATCCCTCCCTGCTTCCAAAGCCAGAAACAGACACTGATGTTCTGCTTTATTACAAGTGCTTTATTACATTAATGAAGAACAGCAAGGCCAGCTTTAAACCGTAATGCAAAACCAGGAACAAACATAATTAAACTTGTAAGAAATGTGATTTTTAGATAATGCCGTCTCATAGAAAGATGCTGATTTCAGCCCAAAGGGCCCTCTCCTCCCTTCCAAATTCCTATTTTATTTATTTAAAATATTTGTACCCCGCCCTTTACAATGTCTCAGGGTGACGATGGCCAAAACTCATCTGTAAGACGGATCCAATTGCTTCACAATTAACTGCTTAGAGCATCTGACAGTTCTTAGTTGATCCTCTCTTTCCCATTGACTGCATACCCTGAGACTAGTTACATCCATTTTCTCCATGTGCTTCTTGCAGGCATGAGGCTAATGGAGCCTCTTCCACCTCTCTCCTTATTTCTGGTTCAACTACATTTGGCATTTCAGCTGGGAATTTCTCCTCACCTGAATCAGAATCTGTTCTTGTACTCCTTGAAGGGCTCAGCACAACAACAATGGGCCCTATACATTGCTGGTTCAGACAACATGATAAACTGTGTTTCAACAAGTCATCATTCAGGAGCAATCCACACTCAAACCTTGCTGGTTATCATGCTGTCTGAATCTACTCAAAGCCTTGTCTAAGAACACCTGGTGAATGCATGGCAGATAGAGAAGATTTGAACTGGAGGGACTTCTTAATTCACAGCTCAGCTTCTTATTCAACACACTACAATAGCTGTAGATACTGCACTGGATTAGGGACCTAAGCAGTAGCAACAGCAGTTGATGAGAGAATCTTGTTATCCCATGGGATATCTTATAAGCCAAGCATATGCAAAGCATTGCTCATTGTTTCTGGGGACAGGAAAATTCTGATTGCTAAAGATGCATGAGGTCATCCATTTGGGGGCTTTTGTACAGATACCACTGAGACAGGGTTCCCCTATCCCCTCCCATCCCCCCCGCAGTTCTAATAAAACACAGTTGGTTACAACTACTCTTCCTTCCTGGTTTACAGTTTAGCAGGAGCTGGGTTGTGCAGTGAACAAGGATCTATGTTCCTTGAACCTGGCAAATGCCACACCTCTTTTCAAATGTGCTACATCAGATAAGAAAGCAAGGCCCTTTCTTTGAGAGATAAAGAAAAGTGGGGAGAACAGTAGCTGTGCCAAAGCCAGCAGTGGCTGCAAGCCAGGTTAGTTACTGGCTCGGCATCCCTGGGGGAGGATTTAAGATTGTGAAGTTAAGTCCTGCTAGTCCTCTCCAAGATTACTTTCCATTCTAAGCTTTGTTTGCAGCTGTGCAAAGTTATTGTCCCTTTCAGAGTTCCTACTTCAAAACCTTAGCTACTACCTTGAGTGGAATTGATCAGTTGTAAAGAGTTCGTAAAGCTTTTTTTTTTTAAATAGACCACTATTTCTCTGCAGCAACAGGAACCCCTTATTCCTTACCACTGCCATGGCACTATCACTCGGCTGGCATTACTGGCTTTATAATCAAGCTATTTTAACGGAAAACTACTTTCCTGTAAAGGAAAAGCCCTGTCTGGAATAGTCTGTTTCTAAATGGTTGTTCCTTTCAACCTGCAAAATGCAAAGACCACGA